TTTTTGAAAAAAAAACGAAATCTAAAAAACGCAACTCAAATCTTAATTCCAATTTTATTTTATTTTTTTGGTTAAAATTTTTTTATAACATTTTTCTCACCAATATTACCAGTATAATATCGGTTAGTTACCTAATTTCACTAAAATTTTTGGTTTACCATTGCAAATACGAAAAAAAAAGGAAAGTGCATTACAATAATATTTTTGTTTTGGACGAAGTTATAATAATGTTTAATAATAAATAATTTCGTAAGAGCACTACCAAGTCTGCTCTTCACACCGAAGCTGAGGCAATTAGTTGGGCAATCAATTCATTAGCCTCATTTGGGTACACGAATGTTATTTTGGAGACAGATTCAAAAGTCTTGATAGAAGTTTTACATGATAAGAACATTTGGCCGGTGCAACAAGCAGTGTCAAGATTTTAGTCTTGCTAGCATGGAGAAGTCCAAGATCAGTTTCTTCCAAGAGAAGGAAATAAGGTGGCCGATCGAAGTTTTTGAAAATTGTGTTTCACATTTGTATTTTTTGGTACCAAGTCGGTTAAAACCAGTGTGGAGAAAGATATGCCATTTTTTTTATTTGTTAGAGAGGCAGATATGCCATTATTGTATCAAATAAAAAAATTTGTAAGAAGTCAATATCAGTTTGCCGTGTAGATGTTTCGCATTTACACCTCGTTGCCGAATGCCGACCAAAAAAAAAAAGGCGAAATGCGTCGTCGTTTTGGTTACAAGACAATCGAAGCCCTAAGGCTATAAATTAAGGTTAGAATCAGAGGAGTCCACACTCGCACACAACAAAAAATATTTTCAAAGAAAAACAGAGATAGAGATCTAATGGCGGAGAAAGAAGAAGTGAAGCTGTTGGGAATATGGGCAAGCCCTTTCAGCCGTCGGATCGAGATGGCACTGAAACTCAAAGGCATACCGTACGACTACGTCGAAGAATCATTGGAGAACAAAAGCCCTTTGCTTCTTGCTCTCAACCCCATTCACAAGAAAGTCCCTGTTCTTGTTCACAATGGTAAACCCATTCTCGAGTCACATGTGGTTCTCGAATACATCGACGAGACTTGGAAACACAATCCCATTCTCCCTCAGGATCCTTTTGACAGATCTAAAATCCGATTCTTTGCCAAACTCGTCGATGAACAGGTATCACCCAATTCTCTTACCTAACTCCAATTGCCTTAAAAAAATTCTCTTTTTTTTTATCTCCAAAGATTTCGAAAAGCTCAGTACTTTAACGGGTTTAAAGCCATAAACTATAAACTTTTATTTGAATTTACTAATTTGCTAAAGTAATGTTCTCTCTGACATTTTAGATTATGAATGTGGGATTTACATCAATGGCAAAAGCAGAACAGAAGGAAAGAGAGGTTCTTGCCGAGCAGACAAGAGAACTGATTAGTTATCTTGAGAAGGAACTTGTCGGAAAAGATTTCTTCGGCGGTAAGAGTGTCGGATTCTTGGATCTAGTCGCCGGAAGTATGATTCCGTTTTGTATGGAAAGAGGTTGGGAAGGAATGGGATTAGAAGTGATTAAAGATGACAAGTTTCCAGAATACAAGAGATGGGTGAAGAATTTGGAAAAGGTTGAGATTGTGAAAGATTGTATTCCTCCAAGAGAGAAACATATTGAACACATGAATTATATGGTTAAGAGAATCAGATCTTCTTAATTAAGAAGATATAATTATCATGTTTAGTGCTTAATCCAATGTTTTAATTTAATGAAATGTTTGAATGTTGTCTTTGTTTTTAATAAATAAAGAGTTTGTCTTTTTTTGGTTTAAACAACTTTCTTTTGTTCTGTGGTTGAGAATGGAAGGTCTTTTAATCTACTAAAGTCAAAAACAGATTTGGTACCTCGAGAAAATCTTTTTAAGACCATTACTTTATTTAGAGACTAGTGAAATCATAAGCATGAAACATTTCCGTGTCGCTCTCGGCCGCATACTCTCTGTTGTATAACTATGAAAAGAGGCTAATGTTTTGTCTTCTTCCCTCCAAACATTTGGCTAATGAATAAACTACAAAATATATGACCTGTCGGAGACGATACTATCGTATAATTTCCATTGCAAATTTTGATAACATAGATCCTATTATCTTTCGTTGCAAATTTGTCAGAAATGAAAGATTTGAGGCAAATTCGATTTTAACAACGGAAATTATCATGATTTTGTAGCAAATATATTTCTAAAATGCGATAGATTTAATTCGTAGAATGATGCAAAATATGAGGGTTTTTCTTAAAAATATGTTGCTGTAGAGTGAACAATTAAAAACGGATACCACAAATTTATTAGGAAAATGATTATTCTAATGTTGAACTGTCTGTTTTGCGCCAAAAATACATTATTTTGTTGATGAGTTGAAATTTACATAGATTCGTGTTGATTCAGCCATTTTTTAAGTATACAATTAGTCAATTTTAACATTCTTTTAATAAATATTAAACACCGTGTACTGTTATCAATAAATTTAAACGACGTCGTTTTCAAAACAGAGTAAAACAAAACAACCTAAATCCCAATTATGTTATCGAATCCCAAATTAAACCATTTCCACAAGCAGATCTATTCATCCCCCTTTTCACCCACACCAAAGTCTTTGTTGTTGTTGCCCTAATAACACGTGTAGAAGACGAACCATGTGATGAAGCGTAGAATTACGATA